AGGGGGGAATCCAGCCCCTCCCCTGTCACGGCAGAGAGCCGTGACAGGATCGAGAGGTGATCGAACGCCGGTATGTGTTCGCTCACCTCCCGATCTACTGAGCCGACCTGTGACAGTTTCATTGTCACAGGTCGGCTAGAACTATGAGGTGAGTGAAAAGCACTCACCTCATAGTTCTCCTTTAAGTCCACTTTGCTGTGAAAGTATAGTGTAGTCTAAATGAGCATATATTTTGACGCACTTTTGCAGTGTTCATTTTTTATATTATAATAGAGGTTTGCCATGCACAGCTTGAATTTCAGCTAATTCCTACTGAATCAGCTTAATATTGAGTCGGGTTGGCCCTGTTCGCACCATCCGGCTCCAGAAAGGTCTATTTCAAAATCGCAGTTTCTAGAGGGAAATTTGTTGGCTGAACAATGACTGTATCCCATCAGATGCAGATCATGTGAATAAAATAGCTAGCAGTGCAGATCCAGGCTAAATGCATGGAAGGGGGAATTAAGGGGCTTCTCTTGTTCAGCCGCAGGGCTGATCAAGAGATCTACACATGTATGGCTAGCTTTAGTATGTTACTGCAATTACTCTGCCTTCAGCTGTTGGGTTAAGATATCAGCTATGTAGGGAGAGCCTTGTTTTTTTGGTGGGGTAGCAGATCTATAGACCTGTGTTGTGAGATGAAGCTGTGAAGCACAGCCATTGCATAGTATTGAATATGCAGTGAGTGCCTATGGCTGTTTCCTGCGTATAAATAATTTCATACTATAGAGAAACATTTTTTTAAAACTTTAACATACATTGATACGTTTGTTTACACCAAGTAAATCACATTAACATATCTGAAAAACACATCTTAAACAGAAGCTGTCAGGAACATACAATATTGACAGTTAATATAGAAAGTTTCTATAAATTCACACCTCCTTCTCAGTATGATGATGCACAGTTTGATGCAAAATTGTCTTTCCATTGCACAATTGTTTTCATGGCTGCTCTGCTTTTGACAATATTCAGGTAGAAGTACGTGTATTGATTATGTCGACACCTTATAACCTCATGACCCCTTGCATACCTAACTGTTAAAATGGGGCAGTAGCTGAGTTCTGAGAAGCACAACACTACTGGAGAAAGCTTGTGGGCTCAAGATGGCATTTGGCGTCTCCCATCTGCTGATAAAGCAATGACTCAGATGAGTAGTGACCTCCATCTTTCTGTTGCAGAATGACAGATTGTAGAGTTCCAGGTGCAGCAAGGCAAAATGCTTAACATTTAGTCATATTTTGTTTTTTCTGTATGTTTGTTTAACCGGCATATTTCAGAAAGCCAGCATTTCAGATCACAAACATAGACACATATGATGTTTGATGATTTTGCCCTATTTTTACAGAATAAAAGCAATAGTATCTTTTATTTTGGTTTGAAACATTATTTTGCATCTAGCGTTAATGAGCTGGTTATTGGTACTTAACATTAAAAGTAATCAGCTGCTCTGTTTTCTCCCTTAAATAGTTTTAAAGCCCAGCTGTATTCAAAAAGTATTTTTTCCCCCACAACCTCTAACTCACCCACCCCTAACCCATCCTGATGGGCTTTTGTTTCCACTTAACCGCTGAAGTCAGATATACTCGCCTAAATTCTCCCTCTAGGTCCTTACTGCTGCCATTTCTGCATGAGGGGACCGCAGATGCAAAGGTACGATGGCGCCTGAGGCTGCCAGTCTCCTTCACTACCTTCCACTGACATCTATCTTCTGAATCCTGAGAGGACCCTGGCCAATGGACATCCAATAGGAAGTGTCCATGTCATGTGCCATGCGTTCTGGTGTGGGCAATTGCACTGAGGGTGGGGGGCGTGGCTGCGTTGCCATTGACTTCAATGCACTTCCATTCCATGCCCCCTACCACCCTTGGACGCAGGAAGCCAGCCAAGATGCGATACATGGTGTGAACAAGCCCTTAATCACACTTATCCCCTGCTACCCCCTATCTCCTTATGTGTGAAAGTGTGTTACCAAGAAATGTTCTTGTTGCCCAGTTTCAAGCTTTCAGTACTAAAAATGAAGTTTTTTTTC